GAAAATAATTTCCAGCATTTTCTATTAGCCGATTTACTTACAATTTTTGTTTAGGTTTCTGGGACCGTTTGTTTCCTTAATACAAACGTCGTTGCCCTTACTGAGACACCCGGTACAATAAAATTTAGTTTTAGTTAGTTTAAAATATACAAAATTTTAATTAGGTCAGCGCAGTCCAAGATCAAAATTAATTTTAACATTGACCTTTTTAGTATTTTAAAAATGTTGTCGATCGGTAAAACTGCTGCTATAATAAAGTGATATTTTTTTTAAAATTACGTTCGTAGCGCCTTATGGCCAAACGGATACCTAATTAGGGTTATATGGCTTCCAAAATGTCAGTGGTATAATTTGAACCAAACTATAAAGTTCCAGTAGATTTTTCAAAAATTTGTGAGTGTAAATTTTAATTCAAATTTGGCGTGTATACGGAAGTAACTTGCCGGACTTCTCAAGTCAAAAAGCGTTTTTCAAAATTGTAAAAACTACATTACACAAGAAAAAAATGAGTACAAACTTCGAATATATAATATTAAATCATTAAATTATATTTCTTTAGTTACAATTATTATTAAGTTTATTATTATTTGTATGTAATCTTGCTTGGTAAACGTGTAAGACGCTATAACAACAATGATTATTATAACATCAAACTGATGAATAATAAACCAAAATATGATTTTTGTCAAAAATTGTCAAAAAAAAATCTAATTTTTGGGGATTTTTTACCTCCAGCGTATTTACAATCGTACATATTTGTGCAGGTTTAATAGGTGAATAAAATATATTTATTATGGTTAACACCTATTTATCTGCTACCCTCTAACCCCTTTTCCTTTCCACTTGAGTCTTAAACAGTATCTGAGAAATTCTCGGATAGCTGACTTTGATAAAATCCTTTTACTACAATTTGTCATGCGAATATTTATTTATTTTTAATATTAATTTAAATTATAATTTTAATAATTTATCTTATTAATATAATGTTGTTTATTAGCAAAAAAAAATAAACAGAGAGCAACAGGACCAGATAAAATCCCAACTGAGATTCTAAAAATATTGGGAGACTAAGCAATTGCATTATTAGTTAAGTTGTTTAATTTAATATAAGATAAAACAGATATACCATCTGTCTGGTTGAAGTCGACGTTTATCCCAATTACTAAATCAGCAAAGTCTGTCATGAGTCATGTCTTAAATTTTTTTCTAAAAATAATACATCAAAGAATCTACCTCAAAATTTAGGAACACATTGAAGATACTCAGTTCGTATTTTGTAAAGACCTAGGTACAAGGGAGGTTCTGTTCAGCACTCAAGTTCTAACTTCAAAATGCCGAGATATGAACTGCGATTTATTTATGAGGGAGAAAGCGTTTGGCAGAGTGCAACACGAAAAATGGTTCGAATACTAAAAACAACAACAATTGATGACAAAGGACTTGGAATCATCTACTGGCATCAAAAGGCAAATGTGAAAATAAGAAATGATATGACTGAAATCATCTCAATTAAAAGAGGGGTAAGACAGGGTTGCATTCTGTCATCAGGAATAAAAATAAATGGGGTAATAATAAACAACTTAAGATATGCAGATAATATTAAAGGACTTCAAAAACTAGATCAATTAGTAGTTTCATGCATCTGTTGCGGCGTTAAACTTAACAGCAAAAAGTCCAAACTTATGGCTGTAGCTAAAGAACCGAATATACATGCAGAACTGTGGATCGACCAAAGTAAACTTGAAAGGGTCAACAATTATTAAGCGAGGAAATAACTGGAAATAATCCAGAACTGAACAAGCAAGAACAAGGTTCATATGTATGAGGAAAGTGGTGTGTGGACATGCGCATGTTGAGTTTAAGTTGGATGGATCGGGTCACAAGTCAGAACGGAGAAACATACAACATCAATACAAGATTGAGGAAAGACAAGGCCCAGGAAGAAGAAGAACATCTTGGCTGAAAAACAGTGGTTCGGACAATCAACTAATACGCAGTTTAGGACAGCGGTAAATAAAGTATTGATAGCTAACATTCGGTAAAAAACCGATATGGCACTTCAAGAGAGAGAATGTTATTTATGCAATAAACCTTCCAGTATTATTATTATTAATAACAAATAAAAACAAAAAAAAACCTTTGGGTCTTTGGGCTAAGGCGCGTTTTTCAGCTATTATACGATGAAGCCGCGACGTCGCCGAAACCAAACGAGGTGATTTTAAAAATCTTCCCCTCGACAGGCAGGTATATAAATTGAATTATGCGATTTCCAATATTTCCCATCGCGGATCCCATGTCTGCCTCATCCTTCACTTTTATCACTCAGATATAATAAAAATCCGCCGACGCCCAAAAAAGGATGCTTATTACGAGGTAACAAATTGATTTTTCCGTTCTGGCAAATATTGATACTGGACGGGATGGATATATTTTACCTCGGTTACATATTCGCCGTTTCGGAATTTTAAATAAGTACGTTGCCCGTAACAACGCGTTAATTATGTTTTTTCTTTCTTGCGTTAAATATTGATATAAATGAACCGGTATAATTTGTACGACAAAGGGGTGACTTTCGCTGGCAAACCGCCGTGAATAAAGTAAAATCACAGGAAACTTATTTAATCGGTAATCAGAACATTTATTTATTTTCAAAAATTAAAAAAAAATGACATGGACATTCGACCAGTTGCTTGGCAAAAATTAAGTAAACAGTAATGTGTAAAGACAAATAATTTGACAAGTTAACAATAACTTTAACCCATTTTTGTTCGCTGTAAAAATCAGCTGACATTTTTGAGAAAAAGGTTTCGCTTCTAAAACTTGCGTTCATATTATTATGTTTAATAATATACAGGGTTATCCACGGTGAGTGTCCTATTAGACGTTTATGGAGAATGACTTACGGCCAAAAACCTGAAATGTTGATTAGTTGATTTTAAATGCAACACCCCGTATATTATTGCATTTTTAGATTCTACGAAACATCCTGGAACTTTTTTAAGTAACATGTACCATAACTATCTTGAACGGAGATAAAAAATACTTTCTAAAATATTTGATAACCAATAACCCGATATAAAATAATAATTTTTTTTGGCAACTAGTACAGTAATAAATTGCTTTATCATAATATAGTATGAGAATTAACTTATCGCGTACAGGGCTAATTGGCAAGATATATAAATCCATATTTCGTCTTCATTTTATATGGAACGTCCCATATTTCATATTGGCACGCAAATGAGCAATTAATTTGCCATCTAAATGTACCAAACTATAAGCAAAACAACAAAATATTGCAATTACAGCGAATGAAAGTAATCGCTTTTCATCTGGGTAGCAGGCTCTGGCCGGGCATGGTGACGTTTTCTGTAAAAAAATAACTGACATGTCTAGATATATTTGGATTTCTCATTTTATCGCATTTTCATAGTTAAAAGTAACATTTATTATTCATTTGAGCACGCTAATATCGGAACATTAAGCTTATTTATATCAAAGATAAATTTGTTTATAAAAAACGTCACCATATTTTGGTTTTTCGCTTATAACTCGAAAACCAGTGAAAATAGATATTCCATAGTATTGTACTTTTAGATGGCAAATTATTTGTTTATTTACGTGCCAATATAAAATATGCGGTGTTTCATTTAAAATTCCCACGTAACATGGATTTTTGTATCTTGCCAATCGGGCCTTATCTTATGAACTTGATAAGTTTATTCTCATACTATATTGTGATAAACCAATTTAATAGGGAACCGCAACCAAATGTTCAAGCTGTACGGGTTGCGAAAAAAAATATTATTTTATATGACGTTGATGGTCGCCAAATTTCTTAGAAAGTATTTATTATCTCCGAAGATGTTTAAGATAGGTATGGTACATGTTGCATAAAAAAATTCCAGAATGTTTCGCAGAATCAAAAATTTAATAATATGCGTCTTTTAAAACACGAAAGTTGATATATATCTGGCAACACCGCAGGGCCAAAAATATTTTACATAGGTGGCTTATGTTCGCTTATATAAGTAACTAACATTTCAGGTTTTTTGCTGTGAGCCATTTTCCATAAACGTCTAAGAGGGCACTCACTGTGAATAAACCTGTATAAAAATTGATAGAAATAAAATGAAAAACCAGAGACCCGGAGTTACTAGAATACATTGTATATTATTGGAAAGGTTTCATGTACACTCTAAATTTTAAAAACTTTCTTCTACCCAAATTCATAACCTCTACGTTGTTCCGTAGGTGTGTATACAGGGTGAACCAAGGAACTGTTATACGGAAAATTACACCAACGTGATGTGGAATAGTAACACTCCACATAAACTTATATATTGGATGATCTGACTACGTGTGAATTCACAAGAAGTTTTCTTTTATAAGTAAAGGTTTTAGGTTTTATATTTTTATTTTATAGAAATATTTCACATAGTTTTTGACAAAAAAATTCTACCCATGCATAATATATTGCTAACAAAAAGGTTGGTTGCTGCATTTTTTTAATTGAACTTGATTTCCAAGGCATGTTTTGCTAAAACAACTGCGACTAACATGTCTTCCAATACCTACGGGTATGAACCAGTCACTCTGTATACTGTGAACAAAGGACCGGAAAGTGGATTCTACCCGTATTTTAAAAATTAATGAATTGAATTAATTCGAATTTATGCACAGTCCTAATGAGTATCTTAAAGACTTTTAGCTTTTTGTTTTTGATTTTCACAACAAATTCAAAATTCGAAAAGTAATTCAAATGTCGTGATCGAAACTTGCGAAAAGACACAGTTTACGATAGGATAAAAAACCTGCAACCTGTAGTAGTACTAAATGCGTCATCATATTACGTACATAAAATTCTGAATGAATAATTCTGAATGTGTGCGCTTTCACCGAACCCGAACACACAAATTAAGCGTAGACAGACCGTGACAAACAACCGGATGTTACAGTTGGTTCAGGATGTTTAAAACCTGGACACTTAAAATACTCACTTCTCCAAATCATCATCCGCATACAGTGCTTGCCTGAGTCGGGCGAGAGTCTGCAGCAGATATTCAGGATTTTGTCCTTCGAGGGAAGAGTAATATCCAGGATAACTAAAAAGTAAACCGTGAAATAAGGATATCTATATAGTGTTAAATAAGGAATAAGTAACCGATTGTAGCAGCATCTGCTAATTCCTTAATACTTTTTCCAACACAACAAACTCTTAAAATTTATAAATTTATTCCTCGTAAATCGCAACTAATGCAAAAAAGACTACGATTTTATCCCGATATATCGTACGACTATTCCCGATTTATAATCCCGCACCTGAATATACAGTTCCCACACCTGAAATGTTTTATCCAATCAAAAAACAATTTCGTAGTCGTTCGGATAATTTAAAGTTTACGTTCGGCTCGTTCTCTTGCAATCACAACTTTTAAATTATTTTAATTTTTTATCATTTTTAATTTGGTTCGAAGAATGGGGACGTTGATTATCAAACTTTCGAAATAATGCATTTAATAACGGAGATGGAGTGTTGAACTAATTTCAAAAGTCTTAATTCGTCAGTTTTCTGAAGGGCAATTAGCGATTATTAGTCGTCAGTAATTAGAAAAACTAATGAAGCTATTTCAAATGTTTTTTCGACCGCTGGGGAGAAGTTATTTAAGCGAAATGACATTGGGGCTTATACCAAATTTTCTCACTTAGTCTCGACATGTTACGCTTGGAAGAAATAATTTCAATGAAATGATAATTATTTTTCTGTAGGAAGTGTTGTAATTTTTAACCGTGACTTTTAGGGATAAACTTTTAACACGAAATCCGTTGCATCGAGGGCGGAAAACATCCTTATCACAGAATGAAGCGGTCCATGATTAACAATTCCCTAACGAACCAACGCATTCCTGAATTAGCAAGATCTCTAAATGTCTTACCTAGATCCTAATTACTAGATACTAACTGTTTCGGATTAAACTCAAAGAGCGTGCAGTGGATCTTCCATTTTAAATAATTAAGAGCTTTCGAAAAGTTCAGAAGTTAACACCTAATTTGTGCTAGTTACGAACGTTGCGGAAAATTTAGGTGCGCTTCTCAGAGAAAAAATTTCTTTCAAATTTAAATTTATGCGAAATAATGTATTTGGCCTCAGCGTTATTTAATAATTGTCACCTGAAAGTTTATAATTAGGAATGAGAATTGAAAACCGGTCATACAACGCCGCCAACCCTTTGGTTTGACGACATGAAAGGGATATAATCAGTTCCAGTCAATATGAAGTACATAAATGCTTTTTTGCGCTCTTTGTAAAGTCTATTTTTTGTGGGGCCAATGTTTTTGAGGTTAGAGCAGTGCTGAGGCGTGGTACTTTTGTTTTTACTTCGTATGGTGCAGTGAAATAAGTAAAGAATATTCAAACGCACATACCTAGGGTATTTTTTTACAGTTTCCCACCGAATGGAAAGTTTTGTATTGATTTAGTTGTTTTATTTTAGTTTAGGACTTACTTATAACTGCCTGGGAGTAGAGTTATTAGGTAATATGTATGATGATGATATTAAACTTGGTTTTAGTTGAAATTAAAATAAAAAATTGCAATTTTTCCTATATATATTGGTGTTAATTTATCGTTCAAGCATAACACCAACGGAAGTCCTTATCTTTAGATAGTTACTACTACCTGGAGACGTGAGGCGCTGCGTTAACTGAAGACAATTCGGAAAGTACCAACGTGGCTGCTATCAGAAGCAAAACCGTCCCACCGGTGCTGTTGCTCCTGCAAACCTTCATTTTCCTGAAACTACAAAAGGATGAGTTAGTAAGTTATAAACTAATAACGAACTTTCTGTGAAAAGATATTTATTGTAACCAAATTGAAAAAAAATCTGTTGATTTCGGTATGACAGTGTGCAAAATAAATTTATAAAATACAAAAATTGCACAACAGTTTTCAAAAAAATTGAGCAAAATGTTATTAAAGTAAGTCGATTAGAATAAAAAGTTCTGAATTAATCTTGAACTAATATTAAAACAGGGTCGAAAAATATTAATAATTTCCTTATTAGTATTTCAATAATTTTATATACTGTCGCAAGTTATTTAAAATCAAATCAATTTTGCAAATTTTATATTTATTGCAACGCTATTTAATAACACTTAATTCTTTTTTATTTTTGAAGTTGTCAAAACTAGGTATAAATGCCAAAAAAAAATCGCGGATATCCATGATATAAAGGGGTGGGACTTTGAACTAAATATTAAAACAGTCTGATGACATTGATTGTTATTGTCGAATAATAATTGCTTGATTATTAAGACATTTTAATCTAAATGCCTTCTGCAAGACGGTTAACATTATCTGAGAAAGCAGAGTTAATGTGTGGAGATAATTATAAATCAGTGCATGAGGCAACAGATATCTTCAATAGAATACATGTTAAAAAAGCTCTGCCAAGAAGATTCCCGGAAAAAATAAATATCACAAATAGACAAATAGGAGATCAGCGTGACTTCCATAAATACGTTTTTTTTGGAGACGGATCCACGTTCACAACCAATGATGTTGTCTCTTCCTAAAATTACCAATTACCGGAAAATAAATGTATGATATTATTAATGACGAATTAATCTGACCATTCTTCTTTCTAAAAACATTAACTGGTAATATGTACTTAAATTTTTTGGAAAACGAATTGACGGAATTTTTGAACAAATTGCGTTTGGCAGAACATCATAAACTATGGTTTGTACATGATGTGCTGCGCGTTCTTCTATAATTGTTACCGAATGGTTAAATAAAGAATTTGGTAAAAAATGCCGATCCACACTGGCCTCCCCGTTCGTCAGATATTAGATTTTTTCTTATGGGGATATTTGGAACAAAAAGTTTATAGGGATCGACCATTCAATAATCTTGAAGAGCTTAAAAATTTTATGATCGCACCATTATATGCATCGAACGTATTTTGAATTATTTTTTTAATATGTTATCATTTATAATTTGTTAAAATTTGTTATTTGCCTATTTTCTTTAATTATGCAGTTATAAATTGGGTAGTTAGATTAGAACAATTCGTAATATTAATATTATTATATCTTTTAGTAAGTTTTTATGATTATCTGCGATTACATGTTTCTTTTCATTAGTATATTTTTATAATAATAATTATTTAAAATGCATTCCTTAATACAATACTTAATTTGCTTATTGTAATTAGCAAAGGTCTGTATTTCGCTAAAAAGGTAAAAGTCTTAGTTAAGCAAATAAGATAGAATTGAAATAAATATTTGCAAAATTCATTTAATTTGCCACAGTATTTGATATTATTAAAAAAACGAAATAATTATTATTTTGTGAAAAATAAACTTTTTTTATCTTAGTAGGCCCTGTTTTGACATTAAATTCTAAACATTTTTTCTTAATAACATTTTTTCAATTGTTTTAAAATAAGTGCAACTAATATGATTGTAGAATATGTACGAAGTTTTTAGTATTTTAGTTGCACAGTAAAATGACCACACTGTAGACATACCATCAACCAATTTTACTTGGTAATAGAAATTAACAACTAAGTACTCTGCTACTTTTAGGCACTGTTGATTTAATATCACTAATTTGACAAATTACCTCATTGTTCATACAAGTTTTTTTTTTTAAATTGGTATGTATAAACACAACTATTTGTTTATACGGATTGACATTATATTGCAATTAGTATCATCTAGATATCACCACCCTGCTATTTTAAATTTCCAATTAGGTTTGAAAAATGATATCACTGACGCCAATCAGCCCGAACAATGGCATACACTGAATTTTAAAATTTCAATTAGCGCTATAATGAAAAATTCAATGCATCGATTTGGATTACGCGTAAGCAATTAAGTTGTTTAAATGGTTCCTAGGGATAATTTAGAATTATCGACTTTTGAGTTTCCTTCCGTATTCATCGATAAGGACAAACAAAATGTTTTAAATCAAAAAATTCGAATGGGTGCAAATTTTTAATAATGGCGTACATAAAATGTCAAAAATAATCCATCCTTAGAGAGGAACATTTTTGTCTGTTTAAAAATTTCTTTTTATCTTTTTTGTTTGAATATTTTTTATAAAATATATATGCACATATTAAATCATTCAGAATGACGAAGAAATATCGTCAAAGGTTTTATTATATTATATCTGTTATATTAGTTATATTTGTTAATATAGACGAATTCGTATTTATTTATAACTTTCCTTCCTTGCCTCTAATCGAGCTCCTAATATTATATTAATGTGTAAAATATTGCTATTTTGATATCATAATTTTCGATAGTATAGAATATGAATTTAATCCATATTTTCTTAGTTCGATAAAAAAATATTAAAAGTCATTTTTTATAGAGCATTAAATTCCCTTTAAAAAACAATATATTATTTGTATATTGAGTTTTTTGGCTGTTTTAGAGAAATAATGAGCAGTACAAATAAATTGAAATAATACAAATAATAAACCCTCCGATATATTTTTTTTGTTATTCTAAATAATTTAAATATATTTTTTAAAAAATAGTCAATATTTTTGACCCAGTATAAATATTTTCATTTCCGTTTAATCAATTCATACTCTATTGAGTAGCAAGAAGAAAAAAAGTTAGTGTTAGATGTTCCCTAAGCTTAAGTACTGTGTCGAAATCTACAAATTATACCACAATTAATACAATTACAACAATTAATGTGGAGGGCTGCTTCGTAAAATTTAAATCATCCCATATCTCGCAATACCTCTGAAGCTTTTCCGCGTTTTCAAAGTTCACATCGAAAGGCAAACATTTCGGTTACGGCTAAAATTATTCCACGACACAGGAAACATCTCCTCACGAAAGCCTCCCGCGTTCTCCTATCTCCAAGATAATCAAAGACACATTCGCCGGTTCCTTTTTAATTGTAGCTTCGGCGGCGCAAAATGTCTTCATCCCTAAGTTTAGGCGACAACCGACAACGAACTTACGGGGATGTAAAAGTCCATTAAACTTCAAGCAAATCGCATTTAAAATTGATCTATAAATTGCGTTAGGATTAATACGACACGGGTGATCCGAAAATTGGTACAATCGATTGATTGAGTTATTCAAAGTGATGGTAAAATTAATAGCTGCGCTTATAATTAGTTCGGATTGTTTTGGTGTGCGCGTATACGCCTCTTAAACAGGTAGTTTAATTAAAATCGCCGACAGGCCTACGCGCGATGCGCTTAGCGAAAATAAAGGATTCGATTGCACGGCTGCATATACGTATAACCTTTAGCTGCTGAGTCGGCTATGTTTGGTTAGTTCTGTGGAATAGAATTAACCTGAGATTGCTCGACATATATTCTCCACACGAGGTTCTTTACTACTGACACTGAGGAGTAAATCACTGAAAAATCTATACAGTGTTTCTCATTTTTGATAAATATCATTGCTATCTCGATTTTGCCATTTTGAAAATATTGCATTTTAGATACTCCTTGTTAACGTTTCAAAAAGGAGAAAACTGGAGTTAGGGTTTTTTTTTCACCCTGTATGTCTTCCTATAATTTCATTAAGATTTTTTTCAAAGAAACTTCCACAAGCTACTGCAATACTTTTTATAAAACTTCTGGATTCCTCCTGCGTCGGTTTTTTTAGTCAAACTCTGAAGAAGCCAACAGGATGATTTGCGAAACGTTAGTTAGTTCGAGTCAACAAAAACCGACGCAGGAGGAATCCAAAAGTCTTATAAAATGTTATTTTATTAAGATATTAGGTCCTGAGCTTTTTAAAAATACGTAACGGATAGAGGTGTTTCAAACATAAAGTATATGTTTTTATTTAATTTTTTGAGTAGGCTATGGGAAAAAAGGTGTCATGACATATTGTAATTATTATTTTTATTTCCTCCTCGTCTTCCGTTTGCTATGGCTCATGTTAACCCAAAATATGATAATGTGCATTTAATATTGGACAATTTGTTATAATAAATTATGTAATTCATTTTATAAAATTTGTATTTTCCATGGCCCACTCATGAAAAAATAAACATAAATGCTTGTACTTAAAATATTAAAAAAAATAAAATTAATTAATGGCGTACATTCAAATATTCTGAAATAGCTGCGCCACTGGAAATACCATGAAATTTCTAAATATGCCTTCAAAATTTTGAGCTTCATTCCGAATATCTTGTGACTTCAGAAGAGATTGTATTAAAAGAAGAATAAATGCCTCACAAATGTGCTTGTGAAAGCAAATACACAATAAACCTACTTCCGCAAAAAATAATTAAGAAATGCCTTTCTTTGCGGCCAATTGGGGTAGCCGTTGAGCTCTAAAAACCGAATTTAGGTTCGTGTTACCAAAAAATGTTTTTAAGGGATGTTTCAAAAAATGTTTTCTGCAAATTGTTGTCATAGCAGTTTTGCAAAAGCAAACACACTCAGAAAGTAGTTAGTAAAATCTAAAAACAAAAGCACAAAAAAAGCCCGTTGTGCATATGTATGTAATGGTTGTATCTGTATAATACAGTATTGGACTTAAAGTAAAGCAAGTTTCAACATACTTTTGGTCAAAGAATATTGGAATTTATTTTTAAAAAAGAACATGGTCTATATCCCAACGTCTGGTCACATATTTTCATATTAAATCCTCGAAATTCCCCTAAAATTGCCCACTAATACCCTGAAATACCGCAAGTAATAACCTTGTATATTAAAATACCACGGTGAGTTGTTACACCTTGTAGTTATCCAAAATTTAACCTATATTTTTTTTCATTTTAAGACGACGTATTGTGTAATT